GTGTCCCCGGAAGACGAAATCTTCTGTTCGTCCGCCATCACGGGATCTCTGACTTCAACATGCTCCCCAACCCATATGAAACCATTGCAACCGAGGATCAGATCGATCCCGAGCTGCTCAACGTGGTGAAAATGGTGTTTGCTTCTCTTCACCAGATAAGGATCCACCTTCAGGATTTGACCCTTTTCGAGCTGTAATTATCCGAGAGAGTTGTTGACCAATAATGCCCCGAGAAATACACCACCGAATATTTAACTATATAACGTTGAAAGGGCATGAGCTAACCAACCTTCCCATACTTCTGACTTCTTGCTTGTAACTGCAAGCTGCCGTCATGCTGGAAGTTGCGTACTTCGGCCTGTGAGACCTTTGTCAGATATTGCTTCGTGTATAACGAACTAAATGCTCGATATAGAAGACCGTCATAGGGACTTACACACACAACGTCGTTTTCCTCGAAGATATTCCTCATGTTGAGCTCATCCACTGCCGTCCTCCGTCTCTGCCAAAAGCGTAATTGATTTTACATGACTATTATACAAGTACGAAACCTGGGAGGTAAACCTATAATCCTCTAGAACATGAGCAACAAATGAAGTAGGCAAACTAGAAAATCTGAACAACGAAAGACCATCTCTTTATGTGTTCAATGACCTTATACATCTTTTGGCAAACAAACACCATTCCAGTACCTGAATACCATCGGGCATGTTCATGGAAGAAAGCATCAATACAGCATCCTGGCTAAAGTTGATCTCCAATCTCCAACGTTTTTGAGCAACCTAAACGAAAGAACACATTCAGTTAATCCAAGCCTTATGCTAGTTTCGCATTCCACATTCGAATTCAGAACACAGATCCAATAATTTACCTCAATAACACGGCCTACGATGATATCCCCAACCTCAGGCTTATACCTACACATGGTTCGTCAATCCGTCAATTCTACTTTGGAAACAATCCATCTGATAATTTTCAAGCAAGAGGGATGAAACCCACCTGGCTCTCAACGCGCGTACGTAGACGAGCTTATCCACGCGCTCCACCACTCCGCAAAGCGTCGCCACGACCTCGCCATTGATCTCCGAAGTACCGTGCCCCCTTCGTTCATGGATCCACCGAGAAAAAAAACGAAAAATAAGCTCAATTAAAAAACAAAAACGGAGATACAGATATGAAAGTCATGATGTATTCGAAGAAAATGAAAGTTACTTGAGAAAGGCATCTTCGTAGTTGACGGGAATGGAGTCGGCGACGATGACGGAGGTGTCGGAGTTGGCCGTCGACGAAAGCGATTGAAGCCGCTCGAGGGCTCTCTCCAACCTTATCTTTTGTGTCTGGTTCAGCGGTAGCTGTAGCTTTCTCACAACCATCGCGGAGCTTTTTTCCTTGACAATGGCGATGCAGATTTCACTTCGAATGCGACGAGGAGAGGCAAAACCCTAAAACCCTCGTTGAATCCCTCAGACTCGGGGGCCCATTTCTTTTAATCTCGACAATATAATTAAAATTATTAATTGTAATTAATAACTTATTAACAATAACTTCTTACCTGTTTACCTTGTTTAATAAAAAAATACGTATTTAATAGTATTATTTTTTTACTGAGTCAGTGAAACATATTTTATACGTTAATATAATTTCTCTACTCAACACAAGAAAATTTAATTCAAAAAGTGAGATATGAATAATGACCATGCACTCCTATATATTCACATCTAAGTTTTCGGAATAGATAAATCTTTATTATATTGTTTTAACAAAAAAAATCTTTATTATATTCTAAAAATTAGCAATTAAATGTTCAAATTTTAACACAAATATCATATTTTATATGCAGAGAATAATCTACCTTATTACAAAATAAAACAAAAAAATATTTATTTTATTTCTTTCGCGCGAGTTTCCGTCTGCAGAGCCATTCTCTTTTAGATATAATTAACTCCTTCGATCTCTTAATCCTTTTTCTCGAAAACCCTAATCTGGGAACCCACCACAAAGATCTGAGCTTTCAGCATGAATTTATTCTAATCCGTTTTCTCGGATGACCCGGATCCGGATCCTCCTAGACCCGAACCAGGCCCGATTCTCCGAGAATCAGTGAAGAGCGACGAAACCCGGATAACATTCCCTCGTCGGAGCAATCAAATTATGGCGACGGTGGAGTGTGGAGCTTCGGCGGTCTGATGAAAACCCTGGCCACCAGATCCGAATCCGTCATAGAGACGTATCGCCGTGATCTCCAAGAATTCAGGTATGAAGAAGGAGATCGAGGTTGCGCAGAGATCGTTGGGGACTGTCGGACACGCCATTGATGAGGTTGGAAGCTCTGTGCTGAAAGGAACGGCTGAGATCATTACCTAAGGTAAGGAAGTGATCTTAGCCGGAGGTAACGAATCCGATTCCTCTGATAACAATAGCAGTAAGAGTTATGGTTGTGGCGATAGCTTCAGGTTCGCGCCGTTCAGGGCGATGTTAACACTTACTGTGAAGAACCCGAGGACTTGGAAGATTACAAAAAGTGGGAATCAGGGTTTTATCTAGATCAGAAAGCTGGAGACTTGGGGAGATTGATGGAGGAAATTGGAGATATGAGAGGAATATACAACAGGGTTGTTCCTTATATGGTTGATAAGGAGGCCTTTTGGTTTAGGTATTTCTATAAGGTTCATAAACTCAAACAAGCCGAGGATTTGAGGGCTAATCTCGTTAAGCGAGCAATCTCATTGGAAGATGAGGAGGAATTGAGTTGGGATATTGACGAGGAAGATGAGAAGAACGAGAAGGTTGCTGAAGCGAGCAAAGAAGTTGCAAAGATGAACCCTGAGAAAAACGAGGAAGGGAATACAGAGCAAAAGGCCAAAGATGAGGTGAGAAACGCGGATTCAATGACAGAAGTGAGAGATGAGGATCCAAAAACTGATGAAGCCCCTGGGGAGACAAAGGAAGAGGGCAACAAGGAAATTGAAGAATCGAAAGCAGTGACGGTGGTGCTTCTTCATCTTTGAGTAAACCCAGTGGCGTTTCTTCAGTATCAACTCAACCATCTCTTCAGGAGGAAGAGGACATGGGATGGGAGGAGATCGAGGACAGCATTGATGAGAAGGAAGTGAGTCGTTCTGGTACCTGTAATGCCCAAACAGCGCCAAGCTGCACAAGCGCCTGAGTGCTGCAGATGAGGATGAAGACTTGAGTTGGGATATTGAAGATGTTGATGATGATGGTGGTGGTGGTGATGAACCAGCAGCCAAAGCTTAAGAATCCCTCCCTACCTTCATTGATGAGAAGGAAGTGGAGTGGTGGTTGTTGAACTGGTGCTGAGTCTCGCCTCATTGCCTTCTCCATTTGATTGGTGTGCAAATATGTTACATTTGATATAGAAATTTTACCAATACCTGAATGAAGCAACATTACACATAATGATTATAGATTTATGACATCACCAGATTCACTGATCACAAGTTATGTTCCATACTATCAGTTTGCAGTTCCTGTAATGTACTTGACATCTGATAAGATATCCCGAGCAGATACGAGGAGGGACAAGAAGATGATGAAGGCTAATGAAGAAACAGGAGAATTAGAGCAGCAGGGAAAGGAGAGGGAGAAAAGGCAGGGGATAGCACAGAAAGCCAATTTCGTGTGTGTGGTTTAGTTTTTGCAGGTTTTGGTTTGTTAAAGGCCACGTCAGCAGTGTGTTGGTGTAAAGGACCTATTTAGCTTTCTTTTGGGGGTTTGGGAAAGGGGATCTGAAATCTTAAGAATATTGTGGTTTGGGGGTTAATAGAGAGTGGTGTTCCTCTCTAAACCCTGGTATTGTTCTCTTTCCTTGGGTATTTTCTTAATACAATCGGTATTTCTATTACAAAGTTCTATCAACATCATCTTATAGTTGAATAGTGAGGTGATACTGAATTTGTGCATTTATTAAATCTTTGTAGGTATGGTATGATGAAGCAATGTGCAAACAGATTGTTGACTGCAACCGCAGATGAAAGCCTGGTTCTTGAGAATGGAGCAATGCGGGATTGGGAAATAGGATTGATGATATATCGATATCTAAATCATACAAAATGAAGACCCCCTGCTTGAGTTCTCATGCCTGGGAACATAATATAACTGACTGATCTATCCCTCTAAGCCTGAATAGGACAGGCATGATGATGACCTATGGAACCTAAACTGAACTGGGAAAAAGAGAAGAAAAAAATAAGCGGAGATCTCAACAGAACAGGGAAAGGAAATCGGACAACAGTTTGCTGGACCTCTGATCTCGGGTTTGAAGCTCTGTTTCCAAGAGGTTAGACATTGTGTGTGTGGACTTAAGGCTTATGCTCCTCCGCCCACGCTTATTCCAGGTTCAGAGGTGGACTCACTACTACTGGACGAGGAAGCAGGCAGAGAAAGCAGCCGTCTCTTCTGGGCACGTGGAGGCAGATGTTTCACGTGTTTTCTGGGCGATACTGCCCATGGCAAGAAAACACCTGTGCCGCCGCCAGCAGTGGCTAAGCTCTTTGGGCTGGTTAATACCGTCGGCTGCAGTGGTGGTGGAGCCAGCATGACCATGGGCGCTGTGCCAAGGACCCCTAATTTCGGCATCAGGTCCATTGGTTCATAGCCGTTGAGGAATGGTGTTGGTGCTGCCATAGGGTAATGGCATGGTTGCCACATTGTCATTACGCCACCATCGGTCTGGAGAGTGGTTGGTAGTGAATGGATCTGGCTTGCTTCTGGCCGTACTCGGAAGAGTGTGATACTGACCCTTTTGGTGTGAGATGGACACATGACATGCCTTGCCATATCGGCACTGTTTCCCCTCATAACCAAGAGAGACCTGCAGTGTTCGCCAGTAAGATCCATCGTATCGATAATATATCTATTTAATAGTTTTTCTATTTTTCATTTTAGTATCTGATGAGGTTATTGGAAATTTGTGAATAATACCCTTGTTTCAGGGAGAGAGTGAGTGGCCCTCTGAAGTTCCCCTCATTATCACTCGAGAGAATGCGTCCAAATGCCAGAGTCGATTCAGAGAGGACGAGAGTGGAGATGGGTTGCTCTAGGTGAGGTGGCTTGAGAAACGGCTGCGAGTATTCACCCTGGAACAACACAAAATCCAATCGGTAAGAACAACAACATTAAAGAGTATAAGCGAAAGAAAGAAACGGGAAGCGGGTGAAATAGTGATCAATGGAATAACACCTCCTCGAAGAAGTTAATGATGCAGCCGTTTGGTTTCTTGTATTCGGGAATGAGTTTCCATGTGACCAGATGATCAATGACACTCTGGAGAAGTGGGGGAATCGGCTCGATATCAACTGTAACCATCAATCTCCGTAAAAGTTAATCAATGGCGATCAAGACTGGTGACAGGAAAGACGGGTGTGTAATCATGGGAGACGGGTTTCTTACCAGCGTGGACATCATCGGTCGAGAGTTCGTCTTTGAGATGGCCGAAGATGGGGACACCGAGCTGAATCATCTCCCTCTTGTTTCCCTTCATTTGCTTGTTGAACAAGATGAAGGTCTCACCTTCACATTGAGATCAAATGATTGAGCAGAAACCCTAAATCCATAGTGGTATGGAATGGAAGAGGGGATGAACAAGGAACCTGAAAGCTTGCCATTTTGGCCAGAAGCTCGGAGCTGAGAGACCAAGTCGGTTAGCTTGGAGAGCTCATGAGGGGTGAGTATGTCTTCATATAGCTTCAGTCCCTTGACTACGTTAACCGTGTGGCCTTTGACATGCTCCTTTGCTTGGAACCCTTTAATAGGCTTTATCTCACTTGAACGTCCATCGCATTCTTCATGGTTTTCGCATACCTGCGTCATGTCCTGTCCCTGGCTGCTCTGCTGGTGATTTTCCTGAGATCCTGTTATAGTATTTTTTTTTTTAAAAAAAAAAGGATAAATACGAAATAATATTAATATAAAAATCTATTATTGTTTTTATGAGTTTATGTTGGCACGGGATATAGGTGAGGGTCCACAAGAGGAGACGACTGAGAGGCAATTAAAAATCATCACACGCTTCTCTATGCGATTCCGATTCTCACAACAACAACAACATTAGTTATATAACTTCTTATATATATATATATTTTATAACGATCTTAAATATATATGTAGATATATATATATGTGCATGTTAACTTTATAGATCATCTCGGGTGTCTCTACGCTAAAGCTACTTGGTGTGGTTGGGGATTATAAAAAACAGACACACACGTCATTATCAATATCTTATTTTTTCTTACACAAAAACACAAAGGGTATCCCCGAACATTTACACCAATTGGACTCGAAACATAATTTCCTATAATACTAGGTGTTTTCTTGTTAAAGTTCAAAGCTTTTTTTTTAAAAAAAAAAAGTAAAACCCAGATGACCAGCTAACCGATTATGCAAATTACGATCTTAGAAAAATCAATATTCAAAGGTCAAACGGTTCAAAAATTAGATCTCGGATCCGCCGGAGGTAAACACGCTTCTGTTTCCTCCAGCACTCGGGGCTCTTTGATCCCCCCCAAAAAAAAAAAAAAAGAAGAAGGGATGCAGTGAACATTTCCCCGGATTCCCATATTTTCTGGCTTTTTCCCGCCGGCCAAACAGAATCTAAACTTTTACCATATCCTTTGTAGCTTTTTTTTTTTCCAATTAGGAAAAGAAACTTGCGGGAGTATCAATGATCAGAAGCATATGCTATGTGAAGTACGGAAAAAAAAGAAAAAGAAAAGAAATGATAGAATCCGATTCGATTTTCGAGTTGTTTTGAAGAACAAAAGCAAAAGTAATTTTTTTGCCATTTGCATAGACAAATTATGGATCGGAGAAAATATTGGAGAAGATTTCCGAACGATTGGAAATTACGAAATAAAAGTTATCAGTTACTTACCTGCTTCAGTGATTTCGCTGCTTGGGGAATCGTCTTCCACCTCCTCCACGTCTCCGTTTGGCTCATTTTCCGTCACTTTCTCGCCTTCTAAACACGCCTTCACCTCCTCTGCTTTCTTCTCTTTCAGATCCGCTGCCTTCTTCGCCGCCACCTTCTGCAGCTCGATCGCGACCTCCGCGATGGAATGGTACTTCTGCATCTGGAGCACCGGGATCCAATTCAGCCGCCGGCGATGGAGCGCCGCGAACACAGCCTCGTACTCCGATTCATCCGACGCCGCTCCGACACTAGCCTTCTTCAGGTGCGAGCACAGCGCGTCGATTATCGCGTTCGCCGCCGCGAACTCTCCCTTGAACCACGCGAGTAGCGCGTCCTTCCCAATCCCCTCCGGAACAACCGCCGCCGTGGCCGCCGAAATCTGAAACGGAACCGGAACCGCCACCGCCGTCGGGACTGAGCGATCTGTCTGCGGTGCTGTCGCTGCCGCGATCGGCATGGATGCAGAATTCAGGCGAATGGAGAATCAGCTATATCGACCTCCTTCTCTATCGGATCTCCGACGTATCGGCGACGGAGGCAGAGGAAGACAATGGGTTCTCGGGCCGGGCCGTATCGGGTCGGGTCGGGTCGGGTCGAAAGATTCGTCTTTGAACCGCAGCACATGCAAATATGAGAGGTTTTAGGTGCGAGAGAAGCTTGGTTTCAATATATACTGGAAAGAGGGAAGCCTCCGTACAGGTGGGGCACGGGGGCGATGTGATGACGTGGCGGTCCATGGAAGGGGTGACGTGGCGGAGGTTCAAGCGCTTTCCCCTTATGATTGATTATTGATTTAATATACTCACATTTAATTATTAATTAGATTAACTTTTTGTCTAATTATTAACTGCCCGAATAATAAGATAGTAATATTTTTATTTTAATAATATAAATTCCTTTTTTTTCCCTTAAAAAAAAAAAGAAATAGAAGCCATTTCGAAAGCTGTGACATGGTTTTACTTTATGGGTGGGAGTTGGCACACTGTTCATTGGAGAGAAAAAGTCAAAATAGAAGGGATGGCGAGGAGCAAAAGAGGTCGCTCACTTGAAATTACTGAAATGGGCTTCGTAGATGAATGAACATTGTCACATTTCATACACATATATATCATTTTTTTTTAATCAAATGCTTAATTAAGAAAATCGAGTAAGACATAGAAAATAATCTACCAAGAAATTTCTGAGGATTAGTATTGTCTTTTTTCCTAATTTATGTGATAAGATTTTTCAGCGAAATAGAAAGAACAACGCATATAGATTTCGATTAATTTCAATCATTTTTAGAATTGGCATTTATAGAAGTCGTGAATATATGTGTATTAAGAAACTTAGCATATATAATCAACCACCTGTCCACTTTATAACTTGGGCCCAACCATGATACGCCCAAGCCCAAAGGGTTGACGTCAGAGATGACGTGTTAAATAAATATCACAGTCTGGTGATTTTTCTCCTTGTTTGAATTATTCTTTTGTTGACAAGCCTATCAAATACATTTAATAGAAGAGAATTTTATTTAAAATTAATTAAATATTTGAATTTTTAAAATAAAATTAATTGAATCTAACTGAACCCAAAATAAGGAAAAAAAATGGAATAAGAAATCTAATAATTAAAGTAAGATATACATGTAATTAAAACACCTTTTCACCGACCCAAAACATATGTAATTAAACATGAAAAAATAACATTATGGTACGTTTAAACTATGGGTTTTTTTATTATTGTATTTAATGTGGGAGTTCTAGATGAATGAAGTTCACGGGCGGCGACGAAAAATTCAAAGCATTATAATGTAAATATTTAGACCGACCTTCAAACAAACCATGGTATTTGGCCTGGCCAAAGAAGGATCTACATTATATAAATACAAATTTATTTTTCTGGCTATAAATAGAAATTGAAAAATAGAAGATCTCTACAAAAATGTGATAATTTAATATTATAATGTATTGATTTGAAACAACTAGATGAGTTATAAATTAATATATATTTTTCAATCTTTCATTCCACCATAGGAAAAAAAAGTTTGGATTGTATGGCAAAAATAATACAATAATTTTACCAAAAAAGTAATAATAAAATAATAACACAACGTTCCATTCCATGGAAAGGGAAAAAGGTTTACCACTTCACCAACAAAGGATTATGGGAGAGGAGAGGAGAGGGGGTTAGAACCATCGAATTGTAAAATAGTGGGGCCCTTTTGAAAAGTTCCCAAATTGGTGCGGTTTTATGGGTATCGTTTCGTGGGGTGGAGCTGCTCCTGGGACCCACATATCTGAGAAATGTAACCCCACCGCACCATTTTTAGAACTTTTAAAAAGGGCCCCACTATTCTTACAATTCTCTGGGACCATCATCAACAAAATGGTTGTACGACGCCGTTTTGGCGGCTGAAAACAATTCCCCAAACATAATAATATATATATACATTGAATTCTAACGGAAAATTTTATTTGTTGACTGTTAGACTCAGCAGCGTCAAACTGATTCAAAATTATCTAATATCTTAATAACTAATAGGTTATATATATAAATACATATATATATATATATATATATATAATATGTGTGTTGGATCGATTAGCTATGTAAATTGGTCATAAAGAGACATAATAAAAGAGGAAGATGCTTGTTCGTTTGATTCCTCCAACATGTATATATTGGAAACAATTATGATTTATAGCATATATATATATATATATATATATATAATATCATGATATTGAATACTTGGTCTATATTATATAAGATAATATTCTTCATGTGAGATAATATTCCGACAGAGTTAAAGCATCGCTAGAATCTTACTATTAACGCTAATATTATATATATATGTGCATGCACGACACTCTCTTTCGTGTATTATACATTATTTTACGGGTATTTAATAATTTTATTCAAAATTTTACAAAAAATAAATTTTTTAATTAGATGAATGGGATATGTAACCCCATATCTCAATATATAGATCCGCCCGTGTGCGTCAAACCACTATGTAAACATATAATCAAGAATAAAAAATACTAACGTAATTTAGAGAATTTGTAATATTATGCTTGTGTTCAACAAAAATTATATACATTGTGCTCATCTCTCTCTCTCTCTATATATATATATACATATATATATATATATATATTATGAAGAATTGTGTTTTGAATTCTCAATTCTAATGTGGCATAGTATGATGCACATGAACATGATTTATACAAATATATTAATAAATATGTCATCCATACACATGGCTTCGAGGAGAAGGAAAATAAAGAGAATAACTTATCATAAGATATGGAATAATAATAATGATAATGATGATAATAATAATAATAATAATAATAATAATAATAATAATAATAATAATAATAATAATAATAATAATAATAATAATAATAATAATGGTACGTATCGATTTACGTTTGATCTTTTGGGGGTTAGGTTATAATTTGATTCGTTTATTTGCGAGTTTATATACTCATTCAATATATATATTTTTTAATATTGGTTCACATTTATATCTAGTTTGTTTCATTCAAAAAATGAATAAAGATAATTCATTTTATTTTCATTTTCCTGAATTATTTAATATTTAATTTGGAATCATGCTAAGTCAGTTAATTTAGTTTAGAAAAATTATATTCAATATATTTCTAGACCAAATTCAATTTGGATGCAGTGTTATTCATTTAAATTCAATCCGATTTTTTTTTTAAAAATTTTATAAACGAACCCAAATATCCCACCCGATATTTTACTATTCATATGCAAATATGCGTATACAACCACAAGGTGCACGCACACTGACGCATATAATTTGATAATTGATACTTGAAAAAGCATACAAAAATTCGCTTTTTACGCTTTATAACAAAGTTCTAATTAAGTCTATATAAATATGTGCTTTTTAGTAATAAAAAAAAAAGATGAGAAATTCGAGAAAATAAAACAAAGAGAGGAAAGTGATATATTCTTTTTCTTTTATTGCCATTAAAAGGGTACGATAATATGCTGTTCTAAAGAGTTGAGAAGCTTTAGAAGATTCTTACATATCACAAAGGTTGCAGGTCCAATGCCAAAGATGGCTTGTATCGCATTTCCCATGTGGTCCGGAAAACAAAAGTTTGTTTTCGAATATCAGAATTTTATGCTAACTTTCCAACTTATATATGTATATATATATATATATATATATATTCGATAATAAGATCTGTATTAACAAAAAATGAGATTCTGTAAATACATTTTATAAATTCACATTTTTCATCAAACTATTAAAGACACATGATTCTAATGATATTAACATGAATCCGTATATGATTGTGTGTGTATATATATACAACAATCTCTCTATAGATGTTTCTGGAATATTTTGAGGATATTTTTTTCATTATAGTTATATCTACAATGACTTTGGAAATAGCTGCCAATTAGAACTTTATTTCAAGAAAGTTAATATATATTTTATGAACTAATGATATGTAACATTATAATCGTGACATTGTAAGATATTTTTCTCATCTTACTTCTTGGCCCAATCATTTAAGTGGCAAATGTGTGGTTTTGGTGTTAGCTTATTAGGAAGCATAGAATCATCACGAAACTATACTGACTGATATGGACCATTCCTTAGAATATGGACCATTATATATATATATATATATATCAGTATATATAATCATGTGATTTATGAAATAAAATATGCAACGTGGAGTAATCAGAGCCCTTGCTTTCCAAGGCATATATTAAGAAGCGGATCCAGTTCACAGATTTGGTATAAGGAGTGTTTTCAATGAACACGTTATCACTTAAGGTCTTGACAAAACGAAATATAACACCGTTGCATGTATGTATGCATGCATGCACGTAAGCATGTATATGCATGCATGCTGTATGCATGATTTTTGACTAACGACGACCTTTTCTGCAAAATTCCTCAGTGTCCCTTCACATATACAAACGAATCTCAGAGCCTTCCATGGAGTTGAACCGACTCCAAATCATCAGGGTTTTCATATATTTTGAATGTTTCATCATCATGCTATGCAAACCTTAGGGCAAGCATGGCCATTACTGTTGCAGCTCTGAAGTACACTTCCTTCATGCTTCTCTCCACTCTACTCGCCATATATTCATCTTTCACTGCTTTCCTGTTGACATTAACAATAGTTTCCCTGAGCTTGTTCACCGCCCATGACAGCCATACCAGTGTGAACCCTAGACCAGTGCTGAAGAACTTGTCTGCGCAAAAGGGCACACGCCCTGTCGCCATGCTGCAGAGAACGGAGAAGAGAACGGCGATTCCGGTTCCGGCTATTCCGATCGAGAATCGGTTCAGAAGCTCTGAGATCTCGGTGATGGATCCCTTCAGCGAGAGAATTGCGGTTTTCTTGTGCTGATCGTTGCCTATCATCAAAGACAGGAGGCTCTCGCATGCGTGAAGATGGTTTCTTTCGTAAAGGTTCTCTCTTTCTCTAGCTCTTCTCTTCGTGTTGTGTTTCTTTGGTGAAGGCTTGAGCTTGGTTGTGTCGGGACTGTCGAGTCGGAACAAATGTAGTCAGATACATCCAATAGAACCGGCAAAGCAAAAGACAAAACTTACTCAATGCATGTAAATGATAATATTATATTATTATTATTACCACTTCAAAGGAGCTGTAGGCATTGCTTTCAACTTTGCTGGACCTAGCTGCAGAGTTGCCATTACTTCACCATCTAGCCTGCTTAATAGAAAAACCCAAATCTTAATCGGAAGAAACAGAATCGCCAACATTGTATATCTAACGCAATCGTTTCAGAAAACAAAACCCTCTCATCTTTGATCAATCTACGCAAATTAGCAGATGGATGTGTAAAGGGCAAGAAGAAAACGGGTCTTTCCTTCAGAAGAGGTTTGCCGAAATTGCTGTCTACGTACGTTTTATGGGATGGCAATGGCATTGAAAACGTGTAAGGGTGTGTCTAAAATGATCAAATAAAACTCAACACTGACTACCACACACACAGAAAATGTGTACACACGGAATGGACCGTCAATAACTAATTACCTTGTAAAGTGGGGGACTAGAGGAGAGAGCTTCCTCCCTCTAGTAGAATGACTCGACAGATAGAACTCAGCAGCAATAGAGAGTATATCATTCAATTCCTTCCTGCTACTGGAGAAAATAACCTGACCATCTCGACGAGCTGCAAATTCTGGGTTATGCACGATTTTCTCAACAAGATCCAGAAGTGGCTTCCCGTGTTCTTGATTCAAGTAAAGAACAGAATATGCTTCCGGTAGTTGAGAACTGGATTTCATAGCCCATGAAACCATCAAGTCGGATGGCAGAGATATATTGAAATCACCATCCTTGAGTTCATCTGATCTTGATACAAAAAACTTTGTCACCTTCTCTTGTCTTGCACACTGCTCAGCGATTCTGAGGCTAAAAATCAGGGACTCCAGTGGAGTATCTGCAACCACAGTTAGTTGATGTAATCTGAAAACGAGTAATAACGAGGTTCCAAAACCGTCTCGTTTGGCTGAATAATTATGAAATCAGTTGGAAATCTGGTGTATAAATGCATATCATACAGTCATGAATGAAAAATATCAGAAAGTTTCCACATTTTCTTTCTGTTTTCTCTCACTTTCTCCACGAATTTCTCAGCTTCCAAAAATGGCTGAAAGAAACCCCAAAACTATTATACGATAAAAATCGCTAGGAATGATCAACACAGCAAAATGCAGATCCATGACACATACCATGGACATCAATGAGCACAGGTCTCATCATGGCTGAGTCAATCTCCATCAACTGGCCAAGCTTGCACAAGGAACCAACAGGTTTCCATGGTTCGAGTTGGTCTGGTTTCAGATTGAAGGAGCTTGATGGTACAATATCCTGCTTTGTCCCGGGATTTAACAGACAAAGCCCATTACTCTGCATCATTTAGGGATGACATGAAGTGAAACAAGTAACAAAGCAAAACCTAGCAACCAAAAACATCAAATTGGCACGATTTGAAAGAAACACCATAGATGGATGCAGACGCAACGAAACAAACTCAACGAGTAGTCCGGAGAAACAAGCAATCTTTGGAGCATAATTGTCACATGAATCAGATAAATTAAAACAGCTAACACCTGAGATGGAAGATTATCAACCCTTGATTCATACACACCAATACCCAGTTACCCAAAACCATCAAATTGAACCAGAAAGCAGGTTCAAACCCCATAAAAGGATACAAATACCATCAGATCGATGAGCCGAAGCAGTAATGCCATGAACATCGGAAGAAAAGTAATTACCTTGATAATTTCGGAGCTACCGAGACCAAGGGCAGGGGTGGGATAGACTCCGCGAGAGGCCATAGAACAGAGCTTGATCATCTTCTTCAGAAGAAGGGAAAACCGGATTCAACCCAGACAAACCAGGATTATCTTGAAATCTTCCTTAATTCTTCGTCACAAACCCATGGAAAATCTTATCATCAACCTCCGCCTCAAAATTTGGATTTTGAGTATCTTCTCGGCTTGGCTCTATAGACGAGAAAAGGACACCTGAATTATATATATATATATATAGGGAAATAAGAAATTAGGAATTAACAAATTTTACCTATATTTTTCGAATTGATTGTTGTATTTACACGTGGGATCTGTTTTTCTTGGTAGAAAATAAAAGCCTCCATTTTGGGCCATTATTGGGCCAATGACTAAACCCAAAAGTGAGCCCAATTTAAAAAAAATAAGGAGCGGGAAAAGGTTTCAGTGAGAAGCAGGTCGAGAGATTAAACAACATTAGAAGAGTTCCAAAGTTGCAAGAACTGAATCTCTCTCTCTCTCATTGCTTCCCGTTTCGCGATCGTCGGCGGACAGGGTGCGAGAGGTGAAGGAAGAATTTCCCTGAAGAAGAAGAAGAAGAATATAGACTTGTACCGCCATGGCGAAGAGGCCTATAAAGTATTCTGTGGTACGTCCTCTCTTCTTCTTCTTCTGGATTTTTTTTATGTGCGGAAAAATGCTTTGAGATTCGATGGTCGATGAATGTTATCAGGTCGATGCCTTCACGGAGTCGGCATTCAAGGGGAATCCTGCGGCGGTTTGCTTTCTCGACGACGAGGACGAGAGAGACAAAGCTTGGCTTCAGTCTGTCGCTGCAGAATTCAACATCTCCGAGACCTGTTTCCTCTCTCCGATCGCCGGATCCGGTGTTCCCCGCTTCCGTCTCCGATGGTTCACCCCCGTCACCGAGGTTCTCTGCTTTTCCCTCTCAACTTTACCTATTCTCTTCCGATTACTCT